CCAGTAGTGCCGAGGAGCGGCGCTACTGGAGCAACCCAGCAGCACCCCAGCTGCTCTGCCCCAGGCGTCCCCAAGTCAGCCGTTGCTGAAACTGACCAGCGCTGACTACAGGAAGCCCGAGGCACAGTTGCTCTGCCCCAGGCTTCCTGGAATCAGCCGCTGATCAGTTTCAGCAGGAGCTGACTTGGGGTTCTTAAGTTGAATCTGTATGTAAGTCAGAACTGGCAGTCAGTTTCAGCAGCGGCTGAATCTGAACGCCAGTTCCGACTTACATACAGATTCAACTTAAGAACAAACCTACAGTCCCTATCTTGTACGTAACCCGGTGACTGCCTGTACTCCACACACTTCAGATTTTGCAAAAACAGTGGTTTGGTTTAGTCAAACGCAGAAGAAAAACAGGATATTAGGGCCTGGGAGCGGGGGAGCTGCATGAAGCTTCCTTCGCTCTGTCCCAGCCCAGTGAGGAGTGCGTGACACTTCAAAGTGCCATGCACTGCTCGCCGGGGGAGGAGGCTTCTCTTCAATCATGGCCTGGGAACGGTGGGGTGTGTGAAGTCTCTTTCCACTCTGCCAGTTGCATGGGGGCCTAGTGGAAAGGGGGAGGCAATGGAGTTTCCCCACCCCTAGACCAATTATGGTCTGGGGATAGAGAAACCCAGAAGCATTCTGGCCCTTTTCCTTCCGGCTGGCGCAGGAACACTTCAAAAAATTTTAAAGTGCCCCCCGGACAAAAATTATTGCACACCCCTGTCTTACACCTATACATAAACCCCATCTGCTTCTTTTCATCACGTCTTTCCAAAGAAAAACAGAAAGTTTCAGATTCTATTTCTGCCTTTAGCATGTACAGAGGCCCTGTTATGAGAATATCTAATAGCTGGAAACACTTGCTTGAGAAATAGGAAAGAGAAGGGAAGAAATGTGGATTCCAGATGTTTCTCCTTCAGGAGAGAAAGAGACTTTCTGAGCTCTTGCAGTAGGCTTAAGAAGTCCCTTGTCTCAGTTAGCATTTTGCATGATGGAGAATCCTCCACAGTGCCTGTCTGAGTTTGATTAATTAGAATCAAGATAACAGTGTACAGCAGGCTACACAGTAGCAGTGACTGCAGGTGTTCAATTGCTCTGACAGCTGGATGGACAGGCAATACCAGCAGAAACTGAGCTACAAAACTGGCAACATGCAGACTAAAGAAAAGGGATCAGAGAGCTAGTGGCTTTTGCACAAGAAGCTGTCCCGGGATCCCTTAAGGAGGATTTCTGTTTGCTTGTTTGTTTAACATCTGCTTGCTTTGTTTCCATGGAGAGGCAGGTAACAGAATGGAGGGCAGCAAATTTACGATAAGGGGTGGGTAGAAGGATGCCATAATGTAGAAAACAATGATGTAGCTGTAAAAGATATCCCAGATACGGTCTGTCCTGGAGATTCTCCATTGAGTTACAAAGTAAAGTCTGTGATTAATTGAAATGTAAGGGACAGGTGTTCTGACTGGTCAGGGCTGTGTCACAGGAGGACAGTTCCCCATTTGTGTGCCTACCACTGGAATTAGCAACTGCAATAAATCAATTTCCCATCATCCCTATAATAGTCTGAATCATTACAATGATTAGTGTTATATTCCCTGGAATCTGCATCTTCCCACTGACTCGTGCATTGCTTGGGAAATTCAAAGAGATTTCACTAAAACATCAAACAGCTGACACCCGTCGACAACAAGCACCTGTTTTCTGCCCTTTGACTAGGTGCAAGAGGAAATCTGAAAATGACATTGGATTTGTTTTTGTGGTATTATAACTGAAGATGCAAATCTTGGAAGGATTTTCATCCTGATTCAACATACAGGCAGTCCCCGACTTACGCGGATCCGACTTATGTTGGATCCGCACTTACGAACGAGGCTTTCTCGCCCCGGAGCTCGCAGGCAGCGATCCGCCACCTTGACCTCCGGGGCGAGAAAAGCTGCTCCTGGTGCCCCTGGTCTGCTGGAGACCGTCCCCAGCAGACCAGGGGCACCGGGAGCAGCTTTTCTCACCCCGGAGGTCGAGGTGGCGGGACCGCTGCCTGCGAGCTCCGGGGCGAGAGAGC